GGTTGTGCACACTTCTGCCCGCGATGTGGCTGCCCCTATCAGGACCTCGCAATGGATGCGTTAGCATGTACCATGCTACGTCAACATTTTCCATTCCTTTATCGGAACGTACGCGAGATGGGAGACCATACTTTGCAACACCTGCTTCAAAAAGTTCTAGGACAGTATTAGCTCTGTTATTTGTTGAGCAATGAAGGTATACTATCAACCTCGAAAAGCCATCAATACCTCCGTGTATAACCATTCTCCACCTGTAAATAGCAGAATTTGTTGGAATAACCCTTTTATCATCGGTAGTTTTAAGGAGCTACAAGAATATTTACAACTTTGTCATTTAAGAAAACAATCAAGGAAAAGAAAACCTGTCACCTCTTTTAGGAGCTGAATAAAATGTTTTAAACTTGGAACAAAGAAATTCATTCGAATGTGGGCAAATGATCGCTAATGAAAAACAAGCCGTGAACCTTAAAGAACTTAGTTTTGGGCCGTTTTCTTTATGCAACAACCATTTATTATATGTTTTTGTGTGTTGTTGAAACTTTACCACTTACATGAACCAGTTGCAAGTTGATATTCAGCATACCTAATCAATTTATGGTTCCCGTCGATGTGCCACAGGGAGAGGGGACCTTGAACTTGGTAACTTCTTCTGCGTATAACATTTAATTCTAAGGCCCGAAGTAGGACACCTTCCGGGTTTACTCTGCGCATTAACTCTCTAATCCTGGCTTGTTGTACACGTAAACCACGCACAAGAAGAAGACCAGTCATTCTTTTGCATCCAACATTAGGGACTTCTCTCATGATCTCAGTGACGGTTGCATCTAAGTCGCTGTCTGACAATTGTGCGTAGGTTGTTCTGATAGACAGCCCGAACTCTGCCAAACGCCTTTCCACTGTACTGGGGCTTGTAACAAAAAGATGCGCAATTTCGGCAACTTTAAATCCCTTTTCGACATGAAATTCTAACTGTGCACGTGGTATTTCAAATCTAGGTCTACCTCTCCCGCCGTTAAAAATTAGACCAGATCGGCAGAGTGTGCCTGAGTATTGAATAACAGATCTATGAATACAGTCTCTGGCCTCCCTTAAACAAGCAACCACTCGGTCATCGATAACGTCAAGTCCTTGATATCTGACAACTATACCGTAAATCCAATCAACACGAAACTGTAAGCTATCAAGGCGGTTGTTCTCTAAATTTTCCACATTCAACTGCCAAAGAATTGTTGAGAGTCCCTGAATCAGTTGATTTCTTATCCGTTGCAAGTTGTCCGCCATGTTTTCTCCTTCTTCTTTGCTCCGAGTGGCACCCAGGCCTTCACAGCTCGTTTCCAAAAACAGAACACCGAGTGTCATGCAGAATACAACATTATCACTTCATAATTCAACATCTGAATATCATCATTGAATATTAGAATGTCACAATGCCATGTTTGTTGAAAATTTGATGGATGTAAGTATCGGAATTAAATGTCAAAATTGCATATTCGAACATAAAAGTTAAATGTCAAAACTGAATGTCTCGATATCATAAGTGAATGTCTCAATACCATAATTGAATGTCTCAATATCATAATTGAAAGTCTCATTATCGATTTGAACATCATAATAGCAAATCTTAATATCATGAAATCATATCAGAATAGCACAATTGCATATCTCAATGTCATAACTGAAATTGTGGATATCATAGTTAAACATTTATTTTTGACGGTAATTACACCCCATAAAAATTGATGTCAATTTTTTGATTTTCGTTATTTTTATCATAAAAAATACGAAAGTCAAAATCGAAAATTTTTTACTTTTTTTCCTTTTGATAGAATATTAAAACATAACTTATATTTTACTTTAATCCTGTCAATATTAAGAGAAAATGAAACTGAGATTATGGGATTAAAATTACAATACTAAAAATAGCTGAGCTGCTTTTCCGACAATGTTGCAGTCTGTGGCATGGCTTAGTGTTTCTGTTTTCGGCGGAAGTCTAAAATTGAAAATTGAAAATTGCAGTCAATTTTCAATTTTTGTTTTTCGGCCAAAACGCTCAAAATAGTTGACAGAACTATCCAAGAGGGAGGGGGAGGGGTCCATTCGCACGGTAATTTTTTGCCCCTAGCGTCCTCTCCCCAGATCCCCTTCCCTCTATGCGAATTTTCTTTGCCCCTGACCCCCTCCCTCCCCTCCCACGCTACACTTCTCTGGAAAGGAGGAAGCGGGAAATTCGTATTTACCGCGCAGTCACTGAGTACATAAAGGATCTTGTAATAACTCAGAGAAAAACACACTCCGAGGTGAGCTTTTTGCCAAAGGAAAGATTTCCCGACAAGAAAGGCTTTAGTTCGAGGTCAGTTAGGAGGTTTTGTTTTGAGAACGGGATAAATTTACACAACCGTCTGTTAAATGATGAGCTTGAACAGTGCACGCGGGACGTCTTTGGGTAAGTATAAGTTTATTAGACTTAAGTGCTTGTTGTTCGCTATTTTCTTGTTTTTTCTATCTCCATTTCCTTGTTTTTTAGCCGTCTATATGAGCACCCTTCAGGATTCAAAATAATTTTTCAGCTTTTAGCGTGAATTTTTTAGGCTTTTGTCAAGGCGCATTTTTTTCCCGGCTTTCAATAAGAAATGAGCAGTCAGCACGTGTCTTCAACACTCAACATGATTTATTAACAGTACTGAAAGGAATTAAACATTGAATGCGCACGTAACAGCATCAGAATCTTTATTTGGTCGACATGTTTTGTTCAAGCGTGATCACCAACTCTAGAGATGAATCGTTAAATGTAACTCTCGCCTTGGACTGAACGTAAATCACATCAGCGGTTTCTTCCAAAATATATCTGCCACTAGTTCTTGAAATGTAAAAGGTCCCTTCACATTCTTTTGGGTTATTTCCGCAGGAATAATCTTCGCAAGAGCGCCACCGAAAAGTGGTGGCCTGAAAAAACTTGCTTGAGAGCCAGTAAGAGAGCCACCGTAAATTAACAAATGACTTAATGGCCCTGTATGTTGTTTAGCTATCTGTGGGATGTTTGGTGGCGAATTCGTCAAGTCTTCCCCCATGACAAGAAGAAAAGATCCATCGTCTAAATGCAAGTCATTAGATCGTTCTTAGTCAGTCGGCAAGTACGTCATGTCTCCAAACTCCTCCCTTAAGTACAACGAATTCGTTTCCACCTAAGAAATACAATTTTCCTCGTTTGCTGTTTTCATTGTTGAAGATTTCACCCCCAACACAACTGCTCACAGAGTAACCACAGTTAAAGACGATCTAAATTTTGTTTAAGATTACTGAATCTTGCATTGTTCCAGTCATGTCATCGGGCGATTTTGCAAGACTCTAAATGTAAATACAATGTGTATTGCCTGAAAAGCTCGAGAAAGCCTCGAAACTGTCATATCCCCCGCTGCTATTCGTAATTTAAACACTTTTCCGTCCCTAGTCCAAAAGAGCGCGAAACTTTCACTTCCTTCGCAGACTGCAGGCGGGCCATGGGGGGGGGGGGGGGGTTTGTTTCAGAAACTTACCCCCCCCTCTCCCTCACCTTTATTCCAACCATGTTTACAGTATGGCGTCTGAAAAGTCGATATGGCCACATCACCTGCTCCAATATTCACCAATACGAGGAAGAAGCTCCAAAACGTCGTGAAATACGGCGGAGACAGTTAAACTCTCACTTCCTTCCCAAACCCCTTAAGCAAGGAAACGGAGTTGGCCATGGGGAGAGGGCGCTGGGGGCAAAAATTATCGTGCGAATGGACCCCTCCCCCTTCCTCTGGGTAGTTCTGTCGACGATTTCTAATGTTTGGCCGAAAAACAAAAATTGAAAATTGATTGCAATTTTCAATTTTCAGACTTCCGCCAACAGAAAAACTAAGCCATGCCACAAACTGCAGCATTGTCGGAAAAGCAAAATTGCCGCTCAGTTTCATTTTTCTCTTTATTGTTGACAGGATTAAAGTAAAAATACAATATTCTATCAAAAGGAAAAAAAGTCAAAAATTTTCGATTTGGCACTTTCGTTTCTTTTATGATAAAAAATAACGAAAATCAAAAATTGACATCAATTTTCAATTTTTGATTTTAAACGAAAATTGAATGGACGAATGACACACGGTCCGGAGGCATCTCAGAAAGCCAATCAGGATAAAACTTTGGTACGAGCAGAATCTCACACCACATCACACATCCAATAGTTTCGTTACATTAAAGTGAAATAGGGAGGACAGAAACTGTGCTGAAAAGATTTTCTAAAGCGTTACACGGAGAATACAGGTATGAATGACTGCACTTCAGGGAGCAATGTCATCATGTGTAGAAGCAAATTGCAAACTTCATTGCGCAAAGAATCAATCTCAAGGAAGGAGAGGAAGAGAACTCTACCAAGAAAGGTTTGAAAACAAGAAATAAACCTAGAAGAGCTCTTTTCTGAGTAGAACTTTAAGGTCAGGATTCAAAGATCTGATCAGAACATATCTATTTCGAATTTCTAAAAGTAACTCCTTCTTTGGAGAGGGATCGAAACACCTGAGAGCTTTGAAGATCCTCTCAGAAGCCCAGTTCTTGCTCGGTGTCCGTTCCACGGCATCGTGCCTAGACTGCCTTGGCAGTAAAATTGGTGTTGTTCAGAAACCCTTGTGCCTTAGAAGAGGTATCTTTACAATCGTGTAGAAGTCTTTGTTTTCAACATTTTCTTTTCGTATTTCGCCATATTCGTTTTCTATGAAACTCGTACGTTCTTGGTTTCCGTACTCAAATCAGTGCGTTTTACAGGAAACGGATTCAGAATTTTTTCCTTGGAGAGGTGCACTACTGATGATGACGTATCTGACAGGTGAAGAAACAAATTTCAAAAGTGAAAAACGAAGAAGAAGAAGGCCTATGACAAAACAATAACAAGAAAATGGGAGTTGTTCAGAAACATTTGTGTCCCATACTAGCTTTCTTTACACACGTGAAGAAATCTTTGTTTTCGTCATCTCTTTTTTCGTATTATGTATTTATTGATTGATCGAGTGGGAGGGCCAGACGCTGACGACGACACGACGCTGCATTTCATTGGTAACAATGTAGATAAAGTAGTCGATGGTTTAAACAGGGCCCTTTCAGAGATTTCACACTGGTGCAGAAACAACAAACTAACCATACACGCTGGAAAGTCCGAGGACATCATATCACACAGAGCTTTCTACGGCCCACTAAGACCCATTAAACTAGGAGATAAGATCCTGAATGTTGTTGACGAAACAAGATGTCTGGAGGTCATTATTGACTCCCAGCTCTCCTGGAACGGCCACGCAGAGCACCTCTGTAAATCCTTTGGAAAGAAAGTGAGGCAACTTAAAAGATTTAAATACTTACCAAAAAGTAAACTAGAAACAATTTACTTCAGCAGCATTGTTCCTTCTATCAGCTATTGTAGCTTAGTCTGGGGCACCAGCACACCACCTTTGATGAACGATCTCAAACATATTCATGCAAGGGCAGCTAAACCATCTACAGACTGCCACGGGACATATCAGATCAAGATGCCCTAG